ACGATTTACTAATAATTAAATAAATTATAACGAAATAAAGGGGGCTCCAAAGCAAATGGCGCCTCCTCTTTACTTATAAGGGTGACTCCAAATGGGATGACGTCCCCTCTTTACTTATAAGGGTGACTTCAAATGGGATGACGTCCCATCTTTACTTATAAGGGTGACTCCAAATGGGATGACGTCCCATCTTTACTTATAAGGGTGACTCCAAACGATACGACGCTTTCCACACATTTTTTTTTGAAACATGGGTAGTTTGGAAAATTGGTTGGAAAGATGGGTATTTTGAAAAATAATATAGAAAAAGGTAGTTAGTTATCTGGGTAAAAAATTTTGAGTTGATACAAATTTCAATTTCTACTTTGTTGTTTAAAAGCAAAAAGGAAGCATCCACATTACATTTTAATCTCTCTATCTGCATTACATTTAAATCTCTCCAATGATGAATTACTTCACTTGTCACGATAAGTAGCTTGATAAGTAATGATGACTTACTTCACTTGTCACAATTATAAATACGAGGTGTTGTTTTAAAATTCTTAGTAGCTTTTTAGGATTGGAATAACTCAGATGCTTTATTAAAAACAGTCTCTTGTTGCTTAATAACAATGTTTCAGATCTTGTTATTTATTTGCACTCAAATATTCCAAATAACAATGAAAAAAGAGAGCGATTTTCATCAAACAAATTTTAAATGATGTTGAAAAAATCGTTGGAGCATTGACTCAAACCCCAAATGTGTTGACAGTTAAGCCACTTCTAAAAGACATTCAAAGAATCTTAGATATCATTATCACATAAAACACAATTATTTGGACAAGCAATACATTTATTTTGAAGTTGTTGTCGAATAGAAATGCAGTTTCTACATACTCATCATATCATATTTTTAACCTTTGGTGATACATGAATTTTATAGATGAGGTGCCAAGGTCAAGATCTCCTGAGGAAAATAATGTCAATAAGCTCATAAGCAAACAATTTATAAGCTCATATGATTTTAGAAGTGCGCATTTGGACCATAATTGTTTGCAAATGTGTGTCTAGATTACTGAAACTTGTTGATTGTTATTGGATGCATATATTCTGATTCAGCTTAAGGTATTGTCATGTCCTCACATTTACTACATGTAAATGAATGAATGCTTGTAATTATCACACAGGTTTTGTCTATTACAAGCCATGCAGCTTCTGTTGAATGAATATGTGTGGAAATGTTTCAGCAGTTGTACTTTATTAAATTTCAGAGTAAGATTTGAGTTGCGAATATGTTCAACAGGGGTTTGATGAATTGTAATATGTTGATTTGATGAATACAGAAGGAAAAATATGAATAATAATCATGAAATGGAGTAAGTGATGTTGTTGCTATAGAATTGAGTATTGTAAAAAAAATAGGCGTTAGGTTACTCGAGTCCCACATCGGATGGTTCGGTGATATGGGAAAATATGATTGCTATAAGAATAGAAGATTATTTCTCTATCAAATCAATGATTCTTCAGGCAGAAACGGGATGTGATGAGTGGTCGAGTCTCGCATTATATATGCGAGTTGGGTGTCTGCCCCAAGCCTGGTTACGACAATTGGGCACTCTCATTTGATCAATCTGATCCCTAATGCTTCCAACTTAAAATGGATGAATCAAATTTAATGCTAATTCTTCTAATTTATTTTTTAATAGAAACAACAAATTTTATATAATTTTTCCGTTGTTTTAGGCCCAACTTCTAAACAAATTGTTTTGGTCTTCTAGTTTGATAGTTGCTCTTAGCTTTACAACATTTGTTTTTGCTTCTAGTTTGATATTTATTATTATGATAAAAAATTATTTTTCTGGACCATAGCCAATTAAGCTTTGACATGGTCCAAAAATCCGTTATTGCAACAAAATAGCTTGTCACACTGTATCAGAAAACAATGTGGAACTTTTGAAAAAGCATTGTAAAATAATAACGTTCTAACAACAAAAAAGCTTGTCTTTCTCTCAACTCTGCAGTTCCTCTTTTCTGCAACTCTACATTTGCCATGTCCCCTTCTCAATTGTAGGTGCATCCTCTCTATTGTAAAGTTGAAAATTCTGCCAAACTAATTTGTAGAATGGTGCGTGAGATAATGAGAAAAGTTATGAATCTATAGAAAATACAGATACTCAAAGTTGGGGAGTTGAGTGATGAAGAGGTCAAGAGATCAATTACCACTTCCATTATTCATACAGGAATAATATTCGCATATAGGTAGCACAAGCAGTGAAGAGTCGTACAATGCATTTGAGACCACTTATTTTCCACCTGCATCTTGTTAATCTGTTTAATTTGTTACTTGTCTCCTAACCTTTTTATGTGTTGTTAACTTGGTTTTGTTGTTGCCTCTTAAGGATTACCCATCACTAAAATCAAGAGTTGTAGAGTTTATTAGTTATAATTAGTAGATGTTACTTCTGAGAGTTGTAATACCAAACTCACTAAATTTTTATATAGAATATCTAATCATTATTCATAAAAGCATTAAATAATTTCTAAATAAATATTTAGAATAATTTAGTTAAAATTATTAATTTTTGAAGTAAAAAGTTATTAAATATTAAAGAAATTAAAATTAATAAATAAGCTTAGTCATCAATGTCATTAAAATTTAATTTTTTATTGTAATAATCAATGCCACATGTAAAATTGGAGGGGATTAGCTAAATTTCAAGTGAGGTAAAATTTAGGGATCAAAATAAGGAGAAACTAAAAGTTACAAAAGATTAAAAAGTGTATTTAAGCTAATTATATTTTTATTGTTCATTTCATTATGGTTTTTGAAGATGCATATTTTTATTTTATCTAAAAATTTGTTCGGAATATAATTTTAGATTCTTTCCAAATTAGATACACTTTTGTAAAACATAATTATTTTGTAATATAAAAAACTTTTCCACACATCAAAATGCTAATTTTTAAAATGTAGGAATTAAAAGTTACAAAACATGAAAGAAGTGGGACCAAAAGTACATTTGAACTAATTATACTTTTATTGTTCATTTCACTATGATTTTTGAAATACTGTCTCTTTGTCGAAGCTGTTTTTGGATTATTTTTTCAAGAATAACATTATGCTCACTGAGAAGGTATCTTGTTGCCTGCCAACTGTTTGTGAAAATTCTGCAACCAGTTATAGAATTTTTCAGGACAATTGGTCGCGATGGTGAGAAACCAAGCTGAAGAGGGCTGGGAGACTGTAGGTCGCTGGAACACCAAAATGTGGGATAACATTCTCAGTAATGGAAGAAGATTTGATGCAACCTTCGGAAGGAGAGATGAAGCAACAAGGACCAGTTTCTTTTTCACATCTTTTCCAGAAAATTTGGGTGCTAAGGATTTGTATGAAGTTTTCCAAGAATACGGTGATATAGACGAGGTCGTGATTCCAAGCAAAAGAGATGCTAGAGAAAAGAGGTATGGATTCATGAGATTCTTCGGAGTTAGAGATGCTGAGTTCCAGTAAAAGATATTTGTGAATCTCCCTCGCTTTCAAAGATTTGATTAAAGAGGAGGTCTTCATGGGGAGAGAAGTGCTGGTGCATTGAGGCAGACTGGAGTTTTGAGGAAGAACTCAAATGACTTTTTTGGAAACAGAAGCAACTGCCACATATCCTATGCGGAAGCTTTGTCATCGAAACCTATTCATTCTCAGCCTCTTATTAAGAAAGTGGTGTTTGATCAGCCTGAAGAAAGTATGGCTCGTTTCAGAAAAGCTTTTACTGGAATTGTTTTTAAATCTGGCATTACTTACAACCTCCAAGACATTTTCTGCGCAAAAGGATTCTTATCTATCAAGATTACGCCATTAGGTGCAAACTTGTTTACTCGAAGATTTAAAAGGTGCTGTGCAGTCCTTAATTCAAGAAGAAGAACATTGGATGAACAAATGGTTTAGGCAACTTAGACCATGGAACCCAAACGACATTGATCATGAACGGATTGCTTGGTTGAAATGCTACGGGATTCCATGTCATATGTGGAATGATTCTTTTTTTGATGCTTTGTTACAACCTATCGGAACTTTCCTTTGCGCAGATGAAGATACTAGGCTACAGAGAAAAATGGATGTGGCTAAATTATTAATTAGGATAAAAAATGCAGAAGCTGTGAAAGAGGATATTGAAGTCATCCTCAATGTTCATTCTTTGATTATCAAGATTCTAGAGGATCTTGCTAGTCCCTTACGAGAGATCTCTTTTTCGGAATCGGAAACAGACTTAGATTACTCTCCTAGTGAGTTTGAGGATGATGATTTCAATTGGAACCGTGAAGATGGGGATGAGGTCACCGTTGAGGAATATGAGAATATCCCTTGCACGTTCGATGTTGCTCAACCTTTTTCGGGTGAATCACCCACTGTTCCATTGCCTGAGCCGGTTGTTTCAAAACAGCACGTGAATTTAGAGAAGGGAGTGGAAGAGACACAATTGATTGTTACTGATAAACCTAACAATAATGCCTATGACGGTTGACGTCAGGTGATTGAATATATTCAAGACAAGAATGGACTGTGTCATTTGGGCCCTAAGGTGTGTTCTAGCATTAAGGCCCAAGCTGCTAGAAAATCCAAAAAGCTATTGGATCTTGGAATCCCCCTATTCCGAAATCCCGCTCCAAACACCCTCTGTCGTTGCCAGATGTAACAAGGGAAACTTCTTCCCCAATTGCCAAACCCTCTTATTTCTCATCTCTATGGGGGAAGTTTAAGGACTGAGCTCTCAACATAAGGCAGTTTCATCTCATTCTTGTTCATCAGACAAATTTTCTAGAGGATCTATATTGTGCTGTGAAACAATTGGTGATGCAGAAGTCAACCAAGGCAATGAGCATTTCTGGGAAAAGGAGATTCAATCCAAAGCTACCACCATTTGAAAGAAGGCTTCTGAACTGGGAATTAAGGGAGGTGAAGAGGAATCTGTCTATATCTTAGAAATCTTGAGAATGGAGAAGGATGCCACAAAAAAGGTGTCTCGATGAATTTAGTTTCTTACAACATTCGGGGGAGTGGAAGTAGAGCGAAGCGGAGGGAGATTTGCAAACTTTTAAATTCTGAGAAGGTTGATTTATGTATGATCCAGGAAACAAAACAGGTGGAGATCTCTGGAAAATTCGTTCACTCCATCTGGGGAAACAGAGAAGTAAATTGGTCTTTTAAAAGTGCTATTGGATCTGCTGGGGAAATGTTACTTTGTTGGAACTCTCAAAGTCTTGAAGTTATTAGCAGTTTCAGGGAGAAGGTTTTGTTGGAATCCAAGTAAACTGGCAGAACTCGTTGATTTACCTTGTCTGTGTCTACTCTTCTTGTTTCATAGGTTCTAAGAGAGTTTTATGGACTGAATTACTGAGGAAAAAAGCCTTATTTCCTGCTGGTTTGTGGTGTTTGGGCGGCGATTTTAATGCAATAAAGAAACCGAGCGAGAGAAAAGGAATAAATGTGTATCACAATTCTTCAGAGATGACCGAATTTCGCGACTTTATTGAAGGAATGAAGCTGTTAGATCTTCCAGCGGTGGGCAGAAAATTCACTTGGTTCAATACTTCTGGTACTTCTATGAGCAGGCTTGATCGATTCCTTCTTTCGGAGTCTTTGATCCGCCTCTGGAATTTGAATGCTCAGTATGTTGGTGATAGAACCTTTTCAGATCATTGCCCAATTTTTCTTAAGTCAATTGATCTGAACTGGGGTCCCAAGCCCTTCAAATTCTTTAGCTCTTGGTTAAAACATGAAGACTTCTTGCCTTTCGTTGAAAAATCTAGGAAATCGTATCGGGTCAGGGGAAAGAGTATGTTCATCTTCAAGGAAAAACTGAAGTTACTGAAAACAGATCTGAAAGTCTGGAACAAACAGATTTTCGGATTCCTAGATTTGAGAGTTTCGGATGCAGTGAAAGAGATAAATGATCAGGACTTGGCGATTGAGGTTGATGACTATCAAATTGATTCGCAGATGGAAAGTCGAAGGAGTGAAGCTCTTCATTCTTATTGGGAATCTCTTATTAGACGAGAAGAGTTTCTTAGGACTAAATCAAAATGCCGATGGCTCAAAGAAGGAGATCGTAATTCCAAATACTTCCACTCTTTGTTAAATTACAGATATCACAGACAGGGAATTACAACAATTAAAGAGGGGAACGAATTGTTTGAAGATGTGAAAGGGATTAAAGACTTAGTTTTCAACCATTTCAAAGCTTTTTTCAAAGAACCAAATCAACTCAGACCATTACTGAAGGGAGTAAATTTCAAATCTCAATCTCAATCTGATAAAGTCTTTCTTGAGGAGCCTTTTTCGATTGATGACATTAGATCTGTTATTTGGGAGGCAGCCCAGGATAAAAGTCCGGGTCTGGACGGTTTCACGATGGAATTTTTCAAGGCAACGTGGGAAATTATAAAAGATGATTTATTTGCTTGCATTAATGAATTCTTCTCTGTAGGTTTTCTTCCAAAGGCGTTTAAGGCTGCTTTCTTGGCATTAATTCCGAAAAACTCAAATCCTCAAGGACTTAGAGAGTATAGGCCAATTTTCTTAATTGGCAGTGTTTATAAATTAATTTCGAAGCTTATGGCAGGGAGATTGGCTAGAGTCATTGATGGTCTTATCTCTTTAAACCAATCGGCATTCATAGCAAAGAGATCAATGATGGATGGAGTGCTTATCATAAATAAATTAACAGACTTCGCGGCTAGGCACAAGAAGTAACTTTTCACTTTCAAGGTAGACTTCGAAAAAGCTTTTGATTCGGTATCTTGGGAATATTTATTTTTTGTCCTTAGGAAGATGAATTTCGGCTCAACTTGGATTAAGTGGTTACGAGGTTGCATTTGTTCGGGTACCTTATCGATCTTGGTAAACGACAGTCCAACGCAAAAATTCAAAATGGAAAGAGGTCTTCGACAGGGCGATCCGCTTTCACCCCTATTGTTCATCATTGCAGCAGAAGGCTTTGCGGGTCTGATGCAGAATTCTATTGCAGCCGCAAATTTTCACCCTTTCGTCCTTTCTGAAGAGCTCCAGTTTAGTTTATCTCAATTTTCAGACGATACGGTAATCTTGGGGGATTCTAATAGAGAAAATATTCTGGCTGTTAAAGTGATGCTTAGGGGTTTTGAGCTGGTGTCCGGGCTGAAGGTGAATTTTTCGAAAAGCAAGGTAATTGGTGTCAATTTGGATGATGGATTCCTTGAGGCTGCGTCAAACTTCGTCTCTTGTGCTACGGTCAGCTTGCCGTTTAACTTCTTAGGAATTCCCATAGGAGCGAACCCGAGAAGGAAAACCACATGGGAGCCGTTGGTGACAAAGATTAGAAACAAGCTTTCTTTATGGATAGGGAAGCACATCTCATTTGGCGGTAGATTAACTTTGATCAATTTAGTCCTAAATTCAATACCGGTTTTCCTCTTTTCTTTTTACCGTGCGCCTAAAGTAGTCTTGCAAGAGATCATCAACATTCAAAGAGCTTTTTTATGGAAAGGGGAGGAACAAAAACATAGAATCAATTGGGTTGCATGGGCGGATATTTGTAAATCAAAAGTAGACGGTGGGTTGGGAATCAAAGACTGTGAAGCTTTCAATATTTCTCTTCTATCTAAATGGGCTTGAAAATTCTGTTCAAATTCTTCGGATATGGGAGCGTCGATTCTTACTTTCCGTTATGGCGATATTAAGAGTATTCTTCTTGAACCATCGAAATTCTCTACCTATTTGTCGAAAGCTTATATTTGGTGGAGGGATATGAAGGAGATTGTCGGTAAATTTGGAGAAGAGGAAAGTTGGTTTGGCAAAGGGGTGTCTTGCAAACATGGAACGCTATGCTTATAGATTTTTGGCATTATCTCTGGCTCGGTTCTCAACCTCTAAAACTCATGTTTCCATCACTTTATGAATCTGCCTCAAACAAATCTGCTAGTGTATTTTCTTTTGGATTTTGGACTGACGGTCTCTGCCATTGAAACGATAGTTTTGACACTGATTCTCTGCCTGCTCTAGCTATTCAAGAGCTTCAAGAATTGCGGCTGATCTTATCTGGAACGCAGCCTCACCAACAAGGCCATGATTCTTTCATTTGGTGGCGGCATCCACAAGTTTTTCGGTTAAAAATGCCTATTTAAGGTTGTTTTCCTTGAAAGGAGAAAGGTCAACAATGAATCCCTCAACTTCTAGTCTGTTGATAAAAATTTGGAATGCATCTGTACCTTCTAGCATAATTGTTTTTGGATGGAGAGCTGTTCTAGACCGCCTTCCAACGCGATATTAGCTGTGGAAAAGAGGTATGGTTAACTCTACTGGATTACTTTGCCCTCTTTGTCGGGAAGAAGAAGAAACTGTGTGTCACTTATTCATTCTCTGTCGGATTTCCGTTCATGTTTGGTCTCTGGTTTTTGCTTGGTTGGGAACTCAACCTCCTGATATGAACTCAATTTTGGACAGCATGGAAATTTTAAACTCTGCTCTAACAGGATCTGTGGAGAAAATTTTTCGGTGTAGAATTTGGTTTGTGGTTCTTTGGTCTATTTGGAGGATTAGAAATAACATTATTTTTAGAGGTGAATTGTTAAATTTCAAATCTTTATTGTATCATATTCAATCTCTCCTTCAGGATTGGAGAGAACTTGGATAGTTTTCTGTCTTCTGTTTGGGATTCTGTTTTCTTTCCCTCTTTGTTCTCCTTTGTATTGGGTTGGACACCCCTAATGTCCTCTTCAATATAATTTTTGTTTATAAAAAAAAACATTAGTATACACAAAGGTATTGCAAGTGGAATATTTTTATTTTATCTAAAAATTTATTGGGAATATAATTTCAGATTCTCTCCTAATCAGATATACTTTCGTAAAACATAATTATTTTGTAATATAAAGAACTTTTTCACACACATTTGTTTGTTGTACATCGAAACATCATAGTCAATGACATCAACAACTACACCCATTGAGAAATTCGAGGAAGAATAGTCATTCTTTCCCTTAAGCACTTTTGCATCCTCCACCAGAAAGAAACTGAGTAACAATTTCTCAATATCTTCTTTTTATAGTACTATAATTTCTTTTTTTTTTCTTTTCACAAATAAGATCTTTATGTTTATGCCATTGTTTGTTAACAATTGTGGTGGATGACATCGATAATATATATATATATATATATATATATATATATATATATATATATATATATATATATATATATATATATATATATATATATATATATATATATATATATATATATATATATATATATATATATATATATATATATATATATATATATATATATATATATATATATATATATATATATATTTATTTATTTATTTATAAATCATTTTAATCATGTGCAAATTGAAGGGTACCAAAAAATTTAAAAAGTTTCATGGAGAAAGGATTTAAAATTGTGTTAGCTGTGGAACACAATAAGGGTGACTCACTTTTGAAAAACTAAAATATGTGTACTATATGTTCATTTGGATATGTATCTTCAGAATTTAGCGATATTATTAGGTTTTCACTAAGGTATGTGAGCACTACTAAGGGTGAGATGAACAATCCCATATTTTTTTAATCTATGATATAATTATTTGCTAAAAAATGGGCTATACTATTACAAGTTATATTGAAAGGAGATAGTTCAGTTGCTGACCCTAAGTGTGTTCTGTCTTTCACCACTTGCGTCGTTTCACTTGGAAATCAAGTCTAATGATCAGTGCCACAAACACCCTTCATCTCCCCCGTCTCTTTCGATTTTCCTTACCTTTGATCTTTATATGATCAATGTCTCTCTTTACTTTTCCTATTTCCATTCAAACTCTTTTTTCTATTCAACCAATCGATCGCTACTTTACAATTGGTGCAAAACTCCACTTCCTTTCACTTTCATATCTTTCGCCAGTTGAAGAACGTTCCAAAAGGCTTTATATTCCACAACTATCGGATTATGATACCCTTTTTGGCTCAAAGTAGTGGTTGCTAGGGTTTCGTCGGACTCATTTTGAATCAAGCTCCTATTTTCCACTTACCATGGATTTTCATGTTAACATCAATATTAACAATGATTTATTGAGTTTCCTAGGTAATGGTTTTATTTTGGCCTTCGTTATTTTGAATGCACATATCGTGGAAGCTATTTTCCCAGGTGAAGCTAGCAGGATTATACCTGAGTGAATCGCACACTCAAAGATACAACAGAGTCGCCACCGAACTTTATTTAGTCCCAAAGGACAGGAAACATGTCGATAAAACCCAAGGGAAGAGATATGGGAAA